CCAGCTCTGAGCAGCAGGGCCCTGGTTCGGATCCCACATGAGGGCCAGTGACACTGCCCTCTACAGCTAAGATGGTGAACAACAGCTTGACCTGGAACTGGGCTGCCGTGAGTCGCCAGCGATGGTGTAGCTGCATCCCCTGCTGCAGTGGGCTGCCATGCGCTACCGTGAGTGGCCGGCAACCAGCATGAGTGGCCAGCAGCCGGTGTGAGCGGCCGGCAGCTGGTGTGAGCTGCCAAGAGCTGCCATGAGCGGCCGTCCAGAGGCCGGTGACCCATCTGCCTCACCCCAGAAGGGTGCAATGATAATACCAACATGGGCCAGCGAAGCGATGTCCTCCACAACTAGACAGAAGAACAAAAGGACAGTAACTTGTCTGTTCCCCTTTTCCTGATTCCCCAGTGTTGTTCCCCTCCCCCAATTCCCCAATAAAACCTTTAAAAAAACGGAGGCACTGAATTGTGAAAGAAATAAAGAAATGGTTCCTTTATACATCTCTTTGAACTTCTATGTAACCACATGATCCATTAAGCTGTCACACACAAGCAGTGAGACAGTTACTTGACGTAGCCCATGAAACCAGTAGCCTGGTCGGGGAGGAATGAGTTAGCTTAGAAATTATGGTGCCTGCCAGCAAGGAGAACAGTCCGAACTCTCACATCCTACTTCTCCTTCCTTATTTCTAGGCCTGACCTACGATGAAGTCATCAGCTTTGTGCCACCACCCCTTGACCAAGAAGAGATGGAGTCCTGAGCACCTGGTTTCTTTTCTGTTGATCCCACTTCACTGTGAGGGGAAGGCCTTTTCATGGGAACTCTCCAAATATCATTCAAGTGCCTCTTGTTGCAAAGATTTCCTCCATGGTGGAAGAGGGTGTGTGTGTGTGTGTGTGTGTGTGTGTGTGTGTGTGTGTGTGTGTGTGTGTGTGTGTGTGTGTGTGTGTGTGTGTGCGCACGCGTGTTAGTATGTGTGTGTGTGTGTCTGTCTGTCTTTGTGGAAGGGTAAGAAAATATGAGCTAACTAGGATTACAGTGACTTTACATGGAGTTACAGCTGCTCCGTGGCAGCCTCTGCTTGCTCTGTGGTGAGAGTCAGCTCCGGCAGGCAAGCACTGCCATCTTGTTAGGGTTTGTTAGATGCAAAGTAAACAATATTACGTGTCCCAGATCCCGGTCATGCTTTTGCCACTTTGGCCTCTCCTGTGGCCCCATCTTGGTAGACCTGACCACATCCCACAGGGGCGCAGAGAGAAGGCTCACACCGCCTGGCTGCTTCAGATCTGAAGCCATCCCTCAGCGATGCGTACAGCCAAAAAGGACCAACTGGCTTCTGTGTACTAGTCTAAGATTAACTTGCTTAGTGTGAATCTCAGAACTCAGCAGGTGTATCTGAAACTGTAAATATGTTTGTGCCTTAAACAGAGAGGAGAAAGTATAGATAGGTAAGAGGGTGCAGCAAATGAAGTTCTGAGCCAGGCAAGTCATCAGGTTGTCGGACGGCCACTCGTGAACCGGGAGCCTTCAGAGGCACCATGTGTGCATGTGTGAGCATGCGTATATGTGCTTCTCTCTCTCTCTTCCCACCACCCCCCAGGTGTTGCCATTTCTCTGCTTCCCGCCACCCTCAGTGCAGAGGTTTCCTGAGTATTGGCCTGTAGCCAAAGCCGGTTCTTGCTGTCAGTGTACTTCCTGTGTGCTCTTCCTTTCTAGCAGAGTGACGATGTGTTTTGCACGTCTTGCTATTTGAGCATGCACAGCTGCTTGTCCTGTTCTTTGGGGGAGGCCCTGGTGCCAAGCAAGTTTGCCAGTGAAGACTTTTTGGGTAGCTCAGAACCCACGTCACCTTGGCTGATGCTATGGGCGGGTGACATCATTCATCTTCAGCCCCCAGTGCTATTTTGTGTTGAACACAATTGATACTCCAGGTGCTTTTGATGTGAAAATTATGAAGAAATTATGAAGAAATGGAACAGATGGACGTATAGCATTTTCATTCTTGCCATCTGGTTTTCCACCATCTATTTTGGGGAGCCATCACGGGAAAGATCAGGGCTTTTCCCAGGAATATCTCAGACTTTGGAAGACAAGTTGTTCTCTTCACTCCCAATAACCAGTGCTAAGAAATGCTGAAAAGCAAAGTGAAAAAAAAAAGCTCATGAGGCCAGAAACTCCTTTTGCTATTTTGTCTAGATATGGTTATTTACAAAAAAAAGTAGTGAGGTGTCTTTTCCACCCTTCTTTGGAAAAGGCTCTTCTTGGCAGCTTAACATTGACTTCTTGGTCTTGGTTTAGGGAGAAATAAATTTTGTTTCAGAATTTTGTATTTAGCAGGAATCCTTTGAGAATGTGATTCCTTCTGATGGGGAGAAAGGGCAAATTATTTTAATATTTTGTATTTTCAACTTTATAAAGATGAAATATCCTCAGGGGCGGAGAAGAGTTGTTTTCATAATTTTCTGAATTTTAGGCACCTTGTGCTACATAAGGGCCCGTATATTTAAATCTTTTGTGAAATAAGAAAGTGTAAAGCCACTTCCAGTGTTGGCCATGTGACAAAATGCCGTATTTGGGCCAAGGTGTTTCCATTTCTCTGTCACAGTGCGGTGACACACACACTCCAGGGAGACAGGGTAGGACCCGAGCGAGTCCCCTGGAGCAAGAAGGCAGGAGGAGGCAGGCTGATGGTGATCACACCTCACCTGGGATTCTCCCCCCTTTAAAGGAAGATGAATGCGAAGGCCTCATCTCTTTGATATGCAATTCAATCCTCACAGTCCCCAGCAAGATGAATTTTCTCAACCATGTTTGGTTGTAAATGCTACGGAGATTTCCTACAGAAATACCGCTCTGAATATTTTTTCATAAAGGTCTGCAATTGTGACCATGTATGTGTTAGGAGGCTGAATGCGCCAAGGAGCCTGGACTCAGCTGGAGCCCATGGAAGAACTTCTTGGTTTCTGAACATAATGCTCCCATCTCCTGATTTTTCTGAACAGGAACCTGAAGAGAGGATGTGGGAAACTGCTATTTTATTTGTATTCATGAACTTGGCTGTAATCATTTATGCCGTATAGGATGTCATACAATACCACTGGTTCAAATAAAGCCTATTTTTCAAATGTAGTGAGTTTCTCAATTTCGTCATATTTTTCTCTAGATTGTTTTTATTTCATGCACAGTGTGGCTTTTATATTTATATTATATCAAATGTTCCTTCAACTGTGGCCTGGCATATGTTTCTGACATCTTAATTATTAACTCCTAAAATTTAAAAAACATTTATATAGCTCCTTAGTTGTACCCTTTATGGTGAAGCGGATCTGAGTCTTAGATGTGAGTGTGTAAAGCAGAGAGCAAATACAGTCTCACATGGCAGGCCCTGTGTTACTATGCAGGGACGTCAAAGTGGCCTAGGACGGGGGTCCGCAAACCATGGCCCAAGGGCTAAACCCAGTCTACCACGTGGTTTTGTGTGTGCCGCTAAAAATGGTTTACATTTATTTTAAATGGTTGCAATAAGAAGAGCAATATTTTTGTAGCGTGTGAAAAATAATGTAAAATTCAAATTTCAGGTCCATAAATAAAGTTTTATTGGAACCCAACCACACATTTGTTTATGTATTGTCTGTGGCTGCTTTTGTGCAACAGTGACAGCTGACTAGCTGTGACAGAGATGATATTGCCCACAAAGTCTAAACTATTGCCTCTTTTATAGAAAAAAGTTTGCCGACCCCTGGCCTAGGATTTCAATTTCCTCATCTGTAAATGAAGTTTGTTTAAGTAGGTGTTTGGGGGGTATTTTCAGCTTTGACATTCTAAGACTATCTGTATGTTTTTAAATTGCCAGAGAAGCTTGGATGTGTGCATTGTTTTATAGACTGTTAAGCAAATGTATTTATTTTATGATTCTTGTCTTATGGCCCTAGACAATATTCTTCTAAACGACTGAATTGCATCATGGGATTGAGGGGCCACAAGGTCTCCCTGCTATTTTCAGGGTCTGTGTTGGTGTGCTTCCTTTCTCAGTGGCCTAGGAATGCTGACAGGTGTCCCAGGGTGCACTGCGAGGCTCAGCCTGTGGGCATGTTGGGAGCCTGCAGCTGGGTATGTGTCCTGTGTTGTCTGGCCTGGCTAGCAGTTGGGAATGATGGCAGTGACAGAAGGCAAAGCAAGCACAGGCTCTTCATCCTGTCCTCAGGGACTTCTTAAAGGGGTAAAAGGAAAGGCACTCAGTTGTCACTTGGGTGTCATCAGCCCTTATAAAGATCAGACAATGGTAGGAAATATTTTGCCTTCACATACCAGACATGGGTGCCGTGACACAACTTTCCTCCCAGGGTTCCGAGAGTGGAAGGCCTCTTGAGCTCAAGGAGAGAGCTGACACCAGAAACAGCTCACCTAAAGTGAATCCACTTAAAATACGGACCAAAATGTCATAGTATGTGGTGGGGATTGAAGGAGAAAAGAAGTCTGATTGGGACTTTTATCATGAAAACAACAAAATTGTAAAAGCATATTCATAATTTCAAATATATCCTTATAATGAACAAAGAATGAATTGAGTGGTTTTCAAGTGAAACTGTGTTTAGTGCCCTACAATATCCTTCTCATTTGATTTTTGCATCAAAATCTTAGAGGTAATTTCTGCAAACATATTTGAGGTCTTCCTTAGGTTTCCTAAGGACATCAATCTTGATATTCACATCGTTCTTTTTTGTAAGTATCGGTAATCACCTTATTCCTTTTCCCTTTATTGTTAATAGGTCTGAGTGCCAGATCCACATTTTTCAGTGGCTTTGCTTGAGATTTGAGCAGTCTTCTGGTGTTGTTTATCAAGTTCATCAAATCCACCATCTTTTGCAGGATTTGCAGTATAATCTGCATCATATTTGTGTCATTTGCAATGTAATCAATTAGAGACTAACAGAAAACCAGACTAGAATGGGCAGAATAGACACTGGGTTCAGATACTTAAACAGCAAGGAGGGGACTAATTTTCTAAGCAGTCCGTTCATTAGTGAATGTTTTCCTGTGATGACTAACATCTCTGTACAATCTGATAGCTACAAGGACTTGGCTAATGAATATACAAATAATGAAGACTTTCTGTTTATAATACAGATGTTTTGATATACATACCTTTTGAACTTAGCATTTACACTTCTCAGAAATTAGAGGCCTCACAAGTGTACAAAGGAAAAGGTTATTTAGTGCTGTGTTCTTTGTAATAGCAAAACATTGGAAGTAAGCCACATATCTGTCAATAAGGACTTGATTAAGATAGTCATCTGTACAGTGGAATACCCTACAGCTAGGTGTGGGTATGTGTGCTAGATACAGTTATTATGAGGGAGAAAAAGTAAGTGGCAAACTATAGCATACCCTCCCCCTTTTTGTATTGATAGAATGGGAGTATATGGTTAGGAAAAACCTAGAGGAACACTCACCAAACTCTTAGCAACCATCTCTAAGTAGTGGGATTATAGGTGTTTAGCGCAATTTCTGTTATGTTTGCTTTTTTTTTTCAACAGAGTATTTTTTCATCAAAAATTTTTTAATTTTGATAAAGATTTTTTAAAGTTGGTGTGACCTGGGGAACCATTACCCAATTTCCGTTTTACCCGGGCCAGAGCCCAACTGCAAAGGGGTTGCCCCCATCTGTTGGGCCCCTGGCAAGCAGATCACCATCACACCTTTGTAGCAGGATCCTCCCCCCTCCTAGGATGGCTTGGTAGTTCCTTCCCCAGTAGAAGAGTGTATTTTAAGGATCTGAAGCAGGATTTTTCTACTTCGGCACTATCGACATCTTGGGCCAGATCATTCTGTTGTGATGGTCCTGTACATTTCAGGATGTTAAGCAGCATCCCAGACTTCTACTCACAAGACGAGTAGCACGCACAACTCCTCTTCCAGTTAGGACAGCCAAAACTGTCTCCAGACATATCCCCTGGGGGGCCAAATTGTCCCTGGTTGAGAACCACTGGTCTGAAGCTTGAAACAACCCCAGTCCTGCAGAATACCAAAGCCTCTTGAAGAAATAATGAAGGTTAACACCTACTAACTTGTTATCACTTAAAGAAATGGCTTGATATTTCTGGGAGAAGCACAGTTATGAAAGACCTTTTTCAAAACCCAAGTATATTTTCTTGGGGGAAGAATAAAGATATTAGGCAGTTCAAAAGAAAGTATATTCAATATTGGATTAAGGCTGTTCCATTACTCAAAAAAAAAAGAAGATGGATATTGAGTGAATAAAGTTAGTTATCTTTTGTTCAGAAGCCGTGGCCATTATCCACAGATAGAAAATCTAGTGCTTAAAATGCGGTATGATGCAAGATTTTCTTAGGTGGTGGGTTACAGTAGAAAGAATACTGGGTTGTGAAGCCACACAGACCTGGGTTCAAATCCTGGCCAAAACTCTTCTCAGGTATGAGACCCTGGGATAAGTTTCTAGTTTTCTGATGATTGTAAAGATTAAATAAAATAAACCTCGATGTGCCCAGTATGTTGTGGACACAAGATACTGGTTAGTTTGCATCTCACTTGAGTTGACCTTGGGCGTTGAGGTTGTCCTGTTAGAGTGAGTGTGGGAGTGATTGCCTCTGGGAACAATGTGAGTGTCTGAAACCAACTGGGAGGAGAGCTCCTGAAGACGAAATGGCCCAGGGGCAACTCCAGTGCAGTTTCTGGAGAACTCCCATTACTGAGGCACGAGACTTGTCTGAGAACCCATAACCAGTGGGACACTGTTGTACTGCAAACCTATTTGATTAATTCGGTTTAGAGAATGTGCTTTGTTTAGTGAGAAAGTAACCTTAAGTCCAATTTTGTAAATATATATATATACAGTTTGTGAGCGTAATTTGTTCCGGAAACAAACTACTAGTATTGCAAGACATCGCTCATTTACCACGTTAAAACGTATTAGAAATGTTTGCTTGTCTTGTGGAACACTCGCAAACCAAGTTACTCGCAATCCAAGGTTTTACTCTGTGTGTGTGTGTGTGTGTGTGTGTGTATGCCACCACCTTTTGAATGTCACTTGAAAGGGAAAAGTATGTAAAACCACAGGACACCCCTCAGCTCCTTGACAACAACCAGTGGTTCTCAACTGTCAAATCCAACACTTTTTGAATAATTAATATTTTGTAACATCTCTTTTATGATACTGAAGTGAAATTCATGGGCAACATACACAATTTTATCTAATTTTATCTAATTTCCTTTAGATAAAGGAAAAATATACACTTAAGTATGTAAATGCTCAAGCATAACTACATAAAAGACGACGCAGTTAGATAGATGCTTACACCTAGACATAGAATCACCTTGAATGTGACAACTGCATTGTGTCATCTTGGCAACTCAAATACCATCACTGATCAGTCATGTGACTTTCTGAAATTGGTGAACAACTCTTGGTAAAATGTCAAAGAAAACAAGTATAATATTTTTATTTACTCAGTTGTGATCCTGTAAATTTTAAGTATGTTAATACATAAAAAACTGTTTTTATATGTAAAATCAAGTTACAGTCTAGGCTCAGATCATCAAAAATAGGTTTTCCTGCCTACATGAAGGTTCAGATGGATGGATGTTTATGATATAAAACAACTCTTGTTGAGAATCCCACTCTGCACCATGGCTCCTGAATGCTAAATATCAGTAAAACCCTGGTCATTGTCACAACCAAAACTGACACCCCATGTTTCCAAGTGTACCCTTTGAGAACTGCTGACAGATGAAATGACTTGAAGGATGTGGAACCCTCAGAAGTGAAACCTTCATATCAAAGGGCAGATCTGACTTTCTATTCTCTTTCCTTCACTTCCCTCTTCCCTACTAAAAAGTAGTTATTTTAGTGAACCCCTACTGTATGTTAGGCAATTTATATACTTGTGTATTCTATACAAGTAATGTCTCCTGTTCTCATCCAGAGTCACATGACAACTGAGGCTGGACTCGATAGACCATCGTGACATCAACATCGAAGGACTCCTAGTTCCAGAGTTTTATAGCATTGACATTAGACATGCCTGTCTTGGTTTCTGAAAGAAAAATCAAGAAAACTATGTCTTCATTTTGCATCATTTCCCTAAGGATTTGCCGGCTGCTGCTGGCCA